GACAAATACATAAGATTTCCTATAAGCTGTGGATAGGGAAACTGTTTGTCAACACATTCTGCCTTTTCTAATTTCAAATTACATTCCATAGGAGTATCTTTAGTATTACAATCAGTCATATAAAACTTTTTAAGAATTTGTTTTACAAATTGTTCCTGATCAATAGATATACAGTTATTTTCACATTTCACTCTCATGCCTAAACACCTTTTAATTTGACCTAAGTCTTTAATTTTAAATTTAGACATAAGTTTTTTCTTAAGATTAGTCATAGTTTTACAATTAGAAAAAATAAAGAAATCATCAACAAATATTGCAATGATAATCTGCTCATTCTTACATTTTTTACTGTATAAACATGGTTCTGATACTGACTTTTTATAATCTAAATCTATCAAAAAATCGTTTATTCTAGCATTCCATGCCCTAGCAGACTGCTTCAAACCATAAACTGCCTTTTTAAGTTTAAGAACACAATTACTCGGACAATTTAAATTAGCAGGTGCTTGCATGTATACATTTTCTGTTAAAAAACCATTTAAAAATGCTGTAACTACATCAAGATGAGTGATTTCAAAATTATATTTTACACTTATTGCAAACAATAATCTAAGTGTAGAGTACCTGAGAACAGGTGAGTAGGTCTCATTAAAATCTACTCCGTGCTGTTGAGTGTAACCTTTCGCCACAAGTCTTGCTCTATACCTGACACTGTTATTGTTTTCTGGCTTTTTCTTGAACACCCATTTGCATTGTACTACTCTATCTGCCTCATCTTGACTGACAATCTCCCAGGCTTGGTTATCCTCAAATGCTTGAAGTTCATCAGACATAGCCTGCTGCCACTTGTCTTTCTCTGGACCGTTGGTAGCTTCATTATAACTTATGTCTTCAGCCCAAGATTCTGATTCATCTGAAACACAAAGATTAGTAAAACCATATCTTTCAGGAGGTTTCCTGATACGCTTTCCCACCAATGGAGGCTCTTCATTTTCAGATAGATCTTCTTTTTCATTTAATGTATGATAAAGTTCTCCTTCAGTTGAAGTTGTGCTTTTTTCTGAATCATATGCATAGGTAGGATCATCCTGATTTGTTAATGTATTGTCACTTTCTATCATAGAACTTTCCTCTTCTACTGATTGGTGTTCTTTTATCTGTCCTTCGTTTATTTCTATCTCAGTAGTATCTTGCTCCATTATAATGACATCTCTACTGGTACATATCTTTCTAGTTTCTGGGTTGTATAATCGGTAACCTTTCACATTTTCCGAGTATCCCACTAATATGTATTTAACTGCTTTCTTGTCCCACTTAAATCTTTTATTTTTAGGAACATGCATCATTACAGGGCTCCCAAATATTCTGACATGACTGAGGTCAGGTTTATGTCCTGTCCATACTTCAATCGGTGTCTTTTGGTCCAAACCTGAAGCTGGCGATCTATTTTTCAAGTATACTGCCGTGTTAACTGCTTCTGCCCAATAACTTTTATCCAGTTTGGCCTCGAACAATAAACATCTTGAACGTTCAACAATTGTCCTGTTGAATCTCTCGCTGACACCATTCTGCTCCGGAGTATATGGGTTTGTCTTCTGATGGATGATTCCACTATCTTTCAGATAATTTTCCATCATATCTGAGCAAAACTCCCCTCCATTGTCAGTTCTCAATGTTTTTATTCCTGTTCCTTTTTGCTTCTCAACCATTCTTTTAAATTCCTTGAAATACTGTAGAGTCTGATTCTTCTCCTTTAGAAAATATACAAATGCCATCTTGCTAGCATCATCAACAAACAATAGAAAATATCTTGCCTGTCCAATCGATCGAACCTCCATAGGCCCACACAGATCTGAGTGAACTAAATCTAGCAATTCTGTACTTCTATGGTTTCTTAATTGGAATGGTAAAAGACTCTGTTTCCCTTCACAACATACCTGGCAGTTTATTTTCTGAATATCAGCCTTCATATCAAATGATATGCCATCTACAGCACCATTTTTCATCTTCTGCAAATCATTACTGTTAATATGACCTAATCTCCTATGCCACTGTTTTGCATCTGTAATTTGAACTGCTGCGGCCAACACTTTCTCTGACTTAACTGTATTCAACTTATACACACCATTCTTTAAATTTGCTATTCCAATAAGCTCATTCCGTTGATTATGTATATAACACACATCACTTTTGAAAATAACTTTGTTTCCTTTTGCTATTAGCTGGCTTACTGATAATAGGTTTGTGGTCAGGTTAGGTATGTACAAAATGTTGTTCACTTTAATGTCAAACTGAGAATTATTCACAAGCGTAGTTATCTGTGTATTCCCGGCACACACAACTGGCACAGTCATATTATTTGCAACAATAATTTCCTTCATATCGTGTACTTTTCTCACTTCCAATAAATTTTCTCTGCATGATGTCATATGAGTACTAGCCCCTGAGTCAATATACCAATCATCCTTATTAAATTCACTATTAAAAAATGCAGCACTAAATGCGTTTACTTGCTTTTCTTTAACTTCAGGACATTGGTTTTTGAAGTGGCCAATTTTCTTGCACTTATAGCATTTTATAACCTTGATAGGTTGCGTCATATCTGATTGTCTATTAATATGGCCGCTTTTAGTATTGCCACTTTTCAATCTATGTCTTCCTTTCGCAATAAATGCACTTTCCGAACCGGATGTAGTACCAACATAATCATCAGCACACATGTCTATCAATTTTGTTTTTACAATATCTGCACTAACCTCTATTCCAGAATGCTCAATGGCCATTATCATAGGCGCATATTTTTCTGTCAATCCCGCTAACATTAATGCTCCAATCCACTCATCAGTTATACTGAATCCTGTTCCTCGAAGTCGCTGGCCCGTTTCTACAATTTGAGTAACATACTGTGCCATTGACTCACAGTTTTCTAACCGAATGTTAATGAGATTTCTCAGTAGACTAATCTTCCTCATGTAGCCGGAATCATCATACATATGTTTAAGCGTAGACCATAAATCATATGCCGTAGCTGCCTGCTTGATATGAACATATAAAGATGTATCGATTGTTAATATCAATTTTGCCTTGGCCTTAGCATCACTTTCAATATCACTCGCAGACGCCGATGCTGATAGCTGTGTCTTGATTTTATCCGCCATGTTTTCTAGCACCAAAACATTTTGCACCGCAAAACACCAGTCGTCATAGTTTTCACGACCCTTCAACTTTGGGACGTTGGCTATATAATTCACCGACATTATTATAGCAGTATGGATAAAGATAATACTTTAAACTTCCATAATACACTTAAAAAACGGGTCTGGGCCAGTGTTCACAACCTGAAGCCAGGCAGTTATCGTACCAGGGCCGTAAAATTATCGTATATGTGATCCATATACGATAAATTATCGTACAGTCAGGAAAATGGCTAAAAATACTTTAAAAAATCATATGAAACGTGAAAATAAAATGTTGCAAACGATTTATAGTTTAAATCTTGTAAACTTGTGTTTTTCAAATTGAAAAAAATCATAATAATTCACTCTTTCGTCAAAGAGGAACAAAAATACGCAATATATTCCCGTTGAACAATATGGTGTTCGCTCTAAGTGATACTATACCTATTGTCCGTAAACATTATTTTTATCACTTAAAATTCGTTAGGTATTAAAATGTTATCGAAGACTTCCAAATCTGCGTCACCATACAAATCGTGAATTTTTGGCTGTGCATTCTGATGCGTTTTTGTGTTTGTACATTAACGCTTTGTTCATCTGCTGTAGTTGCCTTGTGACAGCATAAGTTCCTAATAGAAAAATAAGCCAATAGATGGCACTGACACTAAAAACTGTAATTGTTATTGGGCTATCTGTGTAATCATCAAATTTTTTATCAGACTGGAAATTATCGTACAATCTGCGTACGATAGTCATGTACCATCGTACATCGTACGTAGTTATGAAATTATCGCAAATGTACGATAATTATCGTACGGTTGTGAACCCTGGTCTGGGCCCATAACCTAATAAAAACGAATGAGTTGCAGGTTGAGAACAAAGAGACTTTATTAGTTATACAATGTACAGACTACATACTAGCACAGACTACAAGTAGCACAGACTGATATCTAATAGACTATTTTGATACAAGTAAACATATCTTAACACATGTCCCAACCACTTGAGCCTGTTGCATTTATCTTCTACCCCATAAATATTAGAAATATTATTGGAGAAGTGGCAGTTCTCTCGCGAGTTCCGTAAGGCCTCGCCTTAAGCATCAAGGAGTTTCGTATTGTCCGGGAATGATTGGCTTAATTTGTAACTGCAGCAATCAAACAAAACCTGGACTGGAGAGGTTTAATTATGTATTATAAATAAAATTCTTATTCGTTCGTATAGCGTCTACGTTCGTTATTTCATAACTCCGGTCGGTGCAGCCGTGGCGCAGCCAGTCGCCCTACACCCGCCGGCCATCATGTCCGTGCGCGTAGAACACGTATATTATTTAAAAAAACGTGTGGCACTCGGGGACTGCCGTCTGCCGCGGAAAAGCTATTGTTATTACTAAGCATAGCATTTTTTATCCACTTATGCAATTATAATTATTTATTTGTTTTTTATTTATGCAGTATTTTTCTTTCTTCGATATTAACTCAAGTTTTTTCTTTGATAAATTAATTCAATCTACCAGACTCAGACTAACTCGCTTATATAGACTGCCTCACTCTAACGCGACCGTCACCGATCTTTTCAGAGAGATCTGAATACGCAGTATGCATTCTGTTCCACTCTAACGCACCTCCACTACGTCATTAATCAAGCCAGACCGACGTGAGACGCAGTATGCGTACTGTCCCGTTCTAACGCGTATTGGCCGCACCTATATTACGTCATCATGTGTTAGGTTTTTATTTTCGTTACGGAATTTCTTGATTCGGTCGCCGCGCTCAAAGCCCGCGATAAAATCTATGCAATAGCTAAAAAAATAACACTACTCACCAAACCATTGGGCAGAGTCTTCGTATGATGATTCATATATTGATAATGGTCGTTATAATTGGTCGCTGGGTAAATGCGCATTCTGGGAGCACAGGTGAAGAGGAAGGAATCATCAGTGCCCGACCAGTTAGGGCTCCAAGCCCAGTCCGCGGTGGCGAATCCCCCAAAGATGAACCCGTTGGTGTCCTCTATTATGAGGATGGAGGGTCCTTGCTCTTGGATACGTCCTGAAGCATTATTAGTGTTTTTAACCTTTATAAAAACAAAAAAAGTTTTTTTTTTGCCTTTTTTTTTTAAAAAAAAAATAAAAAGAGGGAGGAAGGGGGATCTTTGTTTCTTATTTGGGATACGTCAACTGTACACATACCCACACTTCTCTTTTGACATTTGAGGATTCCTACAAAAAATTAATACGTTTATGTACTATTATTTTTGAGAGCTTTGCCTTTGCTGACAAGAGGAAGGTGGGGGGGATAAATTTTGCAGTAAATCTGTTTACTTGAAAGACCCTCTACGACCAATCCTGCTCCTCCCACGGGCTCTTCCACCCGACTACTGATGTTATTTACCAGGTACTCCAAAACATCTTCAGAAATTTGCAACCCACATGGCGCAGACCCTGACTAGCCACTGGGCGTTTGGACACTTTTTACACAGATTCAAACGTAAGCAATACAACTGATCAGGGGCGATCTGGAGCTCGAGACTGGCATGAGGGTATCCCGATGATGGGCTATCTGACATTATAAATTGGCGATTAAAAAGAGTGGCGTAGAGATTATTGCCAGTTCTTCCCTTTCGTTCTACGCCCTTCATTTGAGAACTGGCAGTAAATTTAAAATTAAAAGCGTTAAATGTAAATTTCTTTTTTGACGTTCATAAGTGTACATTGTGTTACCTATATGAATAAATGATTTTTGACTTTGACCACTAAGATGAATATCATTAACAACAGGTAACGCGAGCCCCTTAAATTTTATTTAAATTAAAAAATATAATAAATTATTGCTCACACCTGCCATAGTAGAAAATGACTCCCCATGTATATGCGAGGAGAATAAAAACCGCCATTTATGCTGGAACTTCTGGGGCAGGTGACTGTTTATCCACACGATATGAGACAGGTCTATGAACGCTGGATAATCTGGCATTACCTCTAGACCTGAAAAATTTACGTAATATATTTTTTGTAGGCAATATAGGTCGCGTAGAAAATAATAAAGAAGGATAGGAGGTAACTATATAAATTGTAGAGTGTGTTCATATATTTTAATAATGTGATGATAAAATAATAAAAGAATTGACTATAATGACTCATAATGTAATTGTAACTTCTATTCTACCTTTTAAGACAAATTTGCACCCCATTATGTGTGGCAAAGTATGCGAACTTTAGATTGTACTACCATAACATTTTTGTACTATATTCTTGCAATATCTTAATATATATAAATTACGCGTCATGTTGTTTGTCCGCTATAGACTCCTAAACTACTGAACCGATCAATCAAATTTGCACACCGTGTGTAGTTTGATCTAACTTAAAAGATAGGATAGCTTACATCTCAATTTATACCCGCAATATTATTTTATTGCAAAATATTTGTTTATTATTTGATAGCCACAATTCTAACAGATGGCGCTGTGTTGAAAGTACCAACGTTTCACATAATTGTAATGATTACATTTATTTCTTTAAAATGACTAGTCAAGCTTTAAGTGGGAAAACCGTTTAACTACAGTATTTCAAGAATTTAAAGTTGTGTATTGATGACAATAAAGATACCTTCGGATGCTGGCAGCATAGTGGGCGTGGCCGGCGGAAGCGGCGTCGGGCTTTCATCTCCCGATCGCGAGTTGATGCCGTACAGGTTCACAAATACCAATTCCGAAAGTTGCTTTAAAAGAATGTTTGTTTCTAGCCTGGAATAATACAGAAATTAATAAATGCGCGTCTACTATCAGGATTCATAGTAGTCTTAAAGAAAGTAATAAGTAAGTAGTCCGAAACTATTGTAGTATTAAAGTTTTTTTTATTTTTATTTATTTACACTTCGTTGCAAATAAATGAAACACTATACATAAAAATTATAAGGGATGCAACGGGCGGCCTTATCGCTAATAAGCGATCTCTTCCAGGCAACCCTAGTTAAAGAGAAAAACTAAAGTTAAAGATAAAACTAAAGGTAAGGTTCTAGATTAAAATAAAATAAATCAGTGGCGCTCCGTACTTTTTACGTCTGGGCCTCAGATTTCTCTATCTATTTCCTGTGCACACGCCGTCGACTTTTTGGGTCTAAGGCAACATTTTCTCACGATGTTTTCCTTCACCGTTCGAGTGAATGATATAAGCGCATTGAAAGTCCATTGGTGACGGGGATCGAACCTACGACCGCAGGGATGAGAGTCGCTGAAGCCCCATAAGAAAAAAAAATTACATTCACATATTTTGATTTGCCATTTTAAAATATTTTCGGTGATTGGGATATGCGTAGACGTATACAATCGCGATAATTGTTCTAATCCAGTATTTCCCAAGATTTTCGAGCAATGCCGAGCTCGGCCTTTTTAAAATACTTATGAAATATTTAAAAAAAAATGTTCGCTTAATAAACATAATTGATGGGTTTTAGGATGAAATTATTAGGAAGTTGTTAACAAAACACAGTAAGTAAATTTTCAAAACATGAAAAACTAAATTTCGTATAGCCTTAACAATGAAATTTCCCCCCTCTAGGGTGTGGGCCCCACGTTGGGCAACACTGTTCCGACCTATTCCATTTGAAATACGTCACATAGAATAAAGAGTATTTTTTGTTATTTAAGTTGTATAAAATTTAAATTTGGCGCCTTCAGTTATTATAGAATGTATCACTCTATAGTTGTCTAAGTCATGTTAGATCACTATGATAAACTCTGTGTACCTATTACTAATTTTTCCGCCATTGTCTGGTTTACAATAAATTATTAACACTTGATTACTTTAAAATACTCGTTTCATTTAACAATAATAATACTAACAGTACAATTAAATAACAATTAGTACTAAGGTGACGGTCCTCATTCAGTACTGGTTTAGAAAACAGTATTAATAATAATAAACGCCGGGGAATACTCGGGTTATCAGGAAATGTTTTGATCGACTCAATTGACCGTTGATTATTATTGTTACTTTGGTTAATAATTGAGATTCCTTTTATTACTTAAGAATCATAATTTAATTTGATTCGATTTGTTTTGTTATTATTTAATTGTTTCATAATTTAGAATCATTATTTTACAACGAATCGAAAGTACGAATATTGTTACAACCAATCAGAGCAAATGCCTCTTGACTTTGGACAGTAAGTTCAGGGAACGCAAGGTAGTTCTGATTGAGTATTCACGTTATAAAGCAAGTAATATTAACTGATATTTATGATCGAATATAACTAGTCATAATTGAATAATAGTGTTGCATCATCACTCTAAGAGTTAGTACATTATATAATTTTTTTTTAGACAATTCACACCTATTGACCTAGTCCCATGCTAAGCTGGTGAAGCTTGTGTTATGGGTACTAGGCAACGGATATACATACATACTATAGATAGATAGACATATAAATACATATTTAAACACCCAAGACCTAAGCACAACACCAAATGCTCATCACATCGATGTTCGACTCAGCCGGGGATCGAACCCGGGACCCATGGATTCGCAGTCAGGGGTACTATTAGTGGCGTAACAATAGGGTAGCAGGGCTGGCTCAATGCCACGGGCCCCCGACCCAAGAAGGGCATTAGAGGGACATATACAACGTGTAATTGAGTACGCTGAAAATCTCGAAGTTTATTAACATTAAACTGAGTACAACTTAACGATTTTTACTGATTGGGCCCCATCAAAAGAATTTGCCACGGGCCCCAGATGGTATAGTTACGCCACTGATTGTGGTGATGAGATGTTGGACCGAGTTTTTCTATGTGATTTGAGGTTGAGTAGATTGTGATTAATATTTATAATTTACTTGTTATTTGTAATGTTAAAATTAATCAATCTGAATTAAATACTGTAGGATAATTATTGGTGTTTTTTGTGCTTGCACTTTACCCACATGACGCCCACTAAGCCCGCTCAAGACGATGTCCATACCGATGGACTGACGATATGCCTCCGACATATACGTATATATTGTTAGGTATATAACTACTAGCTGACCAAGCAAACGTCGTTTTGCCATGTATATTATTTCTAGTTCAATAAAAATGACTATCTATGTACTCCAATAAAAATAGGGGTTGATCGTAGAGGGGTTTTTATTTTGGTAATTTATGTTATTATTATTAATTACTTAAGATGTCATGTGGAACATGGTTTAATAGTTGCAGCTCCCTACAAACTTTGTAAAAAAAACATGGCGATTAAAAAGAGTGGCGGAGAGTTTATTGCCAGTTCTTCTCTTCCGTTCTACGCCCTTGATTTGAGAACTGGCACTAAATGTAAAATTAGAAGCATTGATCAATTTCTTTACTGACAAGTCATAAGTGTACAATGAGTTACCCATATGATTAAATGATTTTTGAATTTGAATTTGGTGACAATTACGTACGCTTGTACGTATTATTGTATGCTGTATAATAAAAAAAATTGTCTAAAAAATAAAATAAGAATTTGAGGTAGACATCCCTTATCACATAGGGGTTCGAAAGATAGATAGTAGCCGATTCTCAGACTTACTGAATATCCATAAAAAAATTCATAATAATCGGTGGAGCCGTTTTGGAGGAGTATGGGAACATTGTGACACGAGAATTTTATATATATTAGATATAAAGCAAAATAAGTAAGACAACAAAAATAAAGCTTTTTACCATTTCAACAACTGTTGGGCATTGCAATGATGATGTGGCGACTCCAGGTCACCACCAACAGTCGTCGCTAAAGCCTCACCCAAAGCCTGCACGCAAGAGGCACTGGCTCTGAAGCCTTTGTCGATCCAGATCCTAGCTCTCTTAGATGTGGAAGACTTCACAATCTTGATGTATGTTGATGCTATGCTTTCGCAGAACTGTAAAACGTCTGGTTTGAATTAATAAGGTATGTTTCTTCTACGTTTTTTGAAAAAGAAATAGAATATGCGTGAAGTTAGCAGCTATGCCAAGAATTTTGAATGACCATAATGACATTTGTAGTACCTTTTAAACAAATAAAGGAGTTTTAATTATTTTTTCAAAGAAATTTAGCAATGTTTTTTCACAAAGACCTATTGTTACTTAGTTAAAATGTTATGAAACATACCAAGTTATTAAATTGAATGAATAATATAATAAAATAATAAATAATAATAATAATTGTTATTAATATTAATTAATAATTGAATAATATACTAAATATTATTAAATTGTTTACGTTAAATATTAATTATTGATTAATTATATTTAAAAAAAATAAAGAAAGCCGAAGAAGTATAACTTCTTACGCGCGTACATAAGTACACGCACCCTTTTTTTATGTAAGAGGGGGTCATCAGGCTCACCTGATGTTAAGTGATACCCCCACAGACACTTACATTGCCAAAAGGCTCGCAAGCGTAGCTGGTCTTTTAAAAATTGGGCTCTTTTCCTGAGGACCCTAAGTACTTCAGTGGGCAGCTGGTTCCACATAGTGGTGGTGCGCGGAAATTGCCTAATCAATTGTTTTTTTTGTTCTATGTACATGGTCTTCACATATAATTATAAAATCAATTATAGAAAATAAAACCATTAGAAGTATATTATTGATAAAAGCGAAATAATTTAAAAATAAAATCTTGATTACTTTACTAAGTGCCCAACGGGTTTGTCAACGTAAAATTAAGAAATAAATAGATTGTTATGAACTCTTAAAATATTATTTAAATGTTCTATTTGTAATTGAATGTACGACAGTTGACCCAATGTTATTTAAGGATTTCTTAAACTAATTCTAAAAAACACATGATTTTCTATTTTTTTTTTTAAATTTACTAATTCAATGAGAATTAAATTGATCGACCTTAAAACGAAATAGCATACCTCTTTAAGAAGTTGGTAAGGCAGTTCCACGTCCTCGTTGAAGTCCTTGCCCAAACAATTGTATGTCACGGCCAAGCGTTCTTCCACTGTGCCTGTTGAATTTAAATTATATATTACCAGTAAATAAACCAATGGTCTACGTTAGAAGTTATACTTCTTTGGCGTAACAAGATAGCAATTTATATAAGAATAAGAAAATAATTTTTGTTTATTTAAATATCACAAAAAGTATCACAATTAAAGAAATGGGCATTTTTTATTTTAAAATGTTGACTATGCCAACTTCAGGGTGTCGGTTTTTAGTGACGGTGTGTGCGCGCATCGTAAAAATTTACTCTCATCATTTTTCCCTAATTCATTTGAAACGGGTTGACAATTCTTTAATGTATTTTTTTGTGTTATTATTTTATATGATGGGTGGGGGGGCAAGCCTACGGGACGCCCCAATAAGGCAGTTAGCGCAGCCCAATGTCGCCTATTTTTAGTGGGTGCGTTGCCGGCCTTTGAGAGAGGAATATAAAAGAGTATCATAAAGGTAGTAAAGTTTATTTTATATCATTAGGTTATGGTGTCCAAGAAAATAATGATCGAATTTATGATGAACATCACAGTGAAACAAGTACAGCATGCTATAAAAATGTTTTACATACAAAAGTCGTAACAATCAAGGTAACATTAATGTCAGTTTAATGAATTACATTTATTATACGGAATAATACAATCTAAATTACGGTATATTACATTTGAAAACCACTGGTTTAAAAGCAGTCTTGATAGGAACGCAACAAATGCATAACATGCAAACAATTCTTCAACTTGTTTTTCATGTTAACGTTAGGCGTATCTAATAACTGACTGAGTAGTTCATTTATTAGCCGCGATAGCAAATACCTCAACGTTCTCTCGCCGTATACATTGTTTTCTCTCGATGTACAGAGCGAACTGGTAGTAAATGTAAATTTAGAATCAATTTAACATCTTCTTGTTTACTTGGTTACCTATATGAATAAAGTTATTTTGTGTTTGAGTATGAGAGCCGAACTTCTTACAGGTGTGTACGTCATGCTCCACTCGTTTTTTTATGTAACCCAAAAACCGCTTATTGTTATTGTTACGAAGACGGGTTGACTGAAATGTTTCCCGATTTTTAGTTAGTTTTTATTATAGATTTTTATTAGTCGAGTGAAAAAGTTTTCAGGCGTTTTCAGGACTAGTTATACGCCTTTGATAAAAGAATATTCTAGACCGAATTTCCTAGGTGTTGGACAAGGACACGAGAGAGAGGGAAGATCGGAAGCTTCTTGAAGCCAGACTGAACACTCTAGAAGGCCGTACGACAAGGATGGAGCAATGTGCGAAAGAGATAAAGAGTACGGACGTTCAATCGCTACTCAGTAGCAATCCTGCCTAGAGAGTTATCGAACATCGTTCAAGATTATTCTCAGGGATATAAGGGATATAAGCGAGCCGAAACGCGGCCAATTGCTTCAGTCTCTAGCTCGTAACACACCCATGTGCCCTTTGTAAACTACTAATATAATATTTAGGACAATATTTACATAATAATAACTATATAGACTTATAATTGTCTGATTGAATAAATTAATAATAATTATTATTAAAAAAAATTACCTCTAACATTGAATACGTATAACTCCGCGAATCTATTGAAGTCACATGTCGCCGTCTTCTGTTGTCCAGATCCAAATAAAAAGTTTGTCAAGTACTGTGCCAGTCTCGGGTCTATCTGTGGTCCCCAGAATTTCTATAGAGTACAACACTATAATTAGACTATGATATAATTTTTGTATAAGGCATGATTCAATCGTAACTACTGGTGAATATCATCATTAAAAACAAATGGTGACATACACCAGTATAAGTATTATACAGAACAAATCTAAGCGTACGACTAGACTCCAGAAGATAAACCACTTTTTATATGTAAATTGGATTCGTTTTTACAACAAACTCCCAAGCGAAATTAGAGAATTATCACTAAATAAATTCAAAGCCCTGAAACGTAAATTAATCAATATAGCTTTTTATAAATTTCAGGATTTTAAATGATCCAAATCATTGGGATTGATTTGCTCCAGTTCAAACAATTTGTATGACCCAAAACTTGGCGATTTTTTTTTAATGGCTCTGGCACGATTTGTGCATTAGCCAGCGTCAAGTATAGGATTTTTAATAATCCGTGCTTGTCTTTAGAAATTCGACCGTGTCCTTCATGTACGGTTTAAGCACTCGCCCGGTACCGCACAACCCTCCCAAAGGCCGAGAACAAATTTAAATTAAATTAAAACTTGCCCTCGAACCGGGAATCGAACCCGGTAGGGGTACCCCTCACCTAGCTGCCACTTAATAAGACCGCTAGGCTATGAGGCCCCCAACTTGGCGATTAAAAAGAGTAGGGGAGAGTTTCTTGCCCGCTCTACGCCCTTGACTTGGCGAACTGGTAGTAAACGTAAATTTAGAATCAATTTAACATAATATTTTCTGTTGAGGTTCGTGTACTTGTTTACCTATATCCATAAAGATTTGTTGAGTTTGAGTTTAACCCTTGCCTACCTTATATACCGTTCTCGCATATACAAATATTAAAGTAAACAAGTTTCTTTTTCAAAAATGTAAAATGGCAAATAAAATCTCTTTGAAGACTTCAAGGGGATACAAATTTAGTGTACGAATAATAGCTTTTTTAACCGTCATAATTCTCATTATGAAGTTATAAATATATCGAGCTTTAAGCTTTTATTACAATGTAAACGATTTTATTCCGCGCATGCCGCGGTACATAAATTATTTTTACAGAAGAATTATATATATATTATATTCGTGTGTATGTCACTGAACTTCTCTTTAACGGCTGAACCGATTTGAATTATTCTTTTTTGTATGCGTTTGGGTGGCGCCCTGGATGGTTTAGATTTACAAATCAGCCCGGCAGATGGCGCTGTTGTCGGTATATAGGTTAAAAATTATTAAATTTATAACTACTAAACGGCTGGACAAGTTTGGTTAAATTTTTTGTGAGTTCAAATGGAGTCGTGAATGATACCGCCCATATTATATGTTCGTACCGTATTACAGTACAGCATACAGCAATACGTTTGGAAATCCTTTAGTGTTAAAACACCTAAAATATCTCACATAGGTGCTAAATATTTACGACACAAGATGGTTTCTTTCAATCGCGCTATAAAACAGATTGGCTACTAAATGGGGCTGCAAACACAGCGGTATAAACTGATTAACGAATATTTTTAAGTTAACATAAATAATAACACTTTATTCATGACAGAAATATGGTTGGGACAAAATTGATTTTACGCTTGGTACAAGGTACATATTTAAAAAAAATTAAGAAAAGATGTCTTAGTGTTACATCTAATGATACACAACTCGTATAAGACTTTAAGTATGCGTGAATGACTACCTTTTGTTTTGATCTCACTTTAAAAAATAATTAGTAAAGAGTAGAATTGGGGTCGTACGGACCCCGTTTTGTTGAGGGCTGCACCAATGGGGTTTTTACTGTTCAATTAACACTTGCCAGTTCATCGATTTTAGACTAGTGCTTGCGATTGCCATCCCTGATGTTGTGTGTTCGAATCAGCATAGTGCACTTTTTTTATGGAACAGAGGGCAAACGGACAGGAAGCTCATCTGTTAAGTGAAACCGCCGCCCATGGACACTTGGGTTGGACCGAGTTCGCGTGCCGGCACTAATTGACGTTTGCAATTTGCGGATACAAATTCGCTAATGAAATCCTATGACCCAAATATTGACGGCATTGCATAGAGAGCTGATCGCCTACTTGTCTTTTAAGATGATGAAGAACCAAATGTTTGAGGCAAAAAAGGTTGTTACAAGTCAAGGATTATAAACACTGGCAAATAATTTTTAAATCTATATTTACTGATTGACGATACGAAATCATTGGACTGACTTGTTAATGCAGAATTCAATGAAAGCTTCGTAAATGCACGCTAAACGCTATTTTAATGGACATACAAAAATATTTTTCTCTCCATTGTTCAAAGAAAATATACAATACTTCCGATTGTAAATGTTTGCGCCCAAATTAATTTACGATTTAATATTCCACTTCATATGGCGTAGAACGTAGGTTGTACTCCTGTCGAAACGAAAATACTTAGGCTTAGTTTTTTTTTGAGAATGTAACAGGGGCAAACGGGCTCATCTGATGTTAAGTGCTACCATGGACACACATTGCCAAAGGCGCCGTTTAAGTATTACAAAGCACTATAGGGGGGTGTGGGGCGGTCTTTGATTTTCTTATGTGGTGATTACGTCTACAGTAATTTTTTTTTCACATATTACCCACACATTGTCTATGCTTGAAAACGAAATTTCAAGCATAGGCAAGCGTACTGGAGTGAACTACTTAAAAGTTTTTGAGAGCTTTCATTACTTTGGGTATAAATTGCAGTAAATCTGCTTACGAAATACGTGAAGGGCCCCTAAGCTGTTTACTTGAAAGACCCTTAATCGAATTAAGCAAATTTATTATACATTTCTCATAAATTTATTAACCAAAAGCAAATCTCTGCTAGCTCTGAAGCTAATAACAAACAAAACAGATTTTTAACACCTCAAACTGAAAAATTACTGACGTCAATCAATAAACAAGCGATCAAAAATCACCAGTAATAGGTTGCTAAAAGTGTTTTTTGTTCTCAATTTAATGCGATTTGAATTTAGAATTATTTGATTGAAAAGCTAAAGCTTGCTGTTTTAATGCAATAATCCTATTGTTAAATGAAACGAGTATTTTATTAATCACTGTGTTAATTATATTTTATTGTTAACCAGACAATGGCGAAAAAGGAAGTAAGCTTATACACGGAGCAAATCATAGATACCAGATATGACATAGACAACAAGTGATGTATTCTATAATTGCTAAAGGCGCCAAATTTACATTTTATAGACTAACACCTATATCTTAAATCGAATCGAAAAACCGATTTTGACGTTGAGTGAGATGCGGCTTATTGGACATCTAGGAGGTGCCTATTTAGCCGCTTGAAAGAGCCCATGTTATGGCTACAGTAAAAAGCGGCATGGAATACCATTCTCACTTATTAACAAGGAACAACGATCCAACACACTTGGAGATGTCAACAACGTAAGATGTATATTAGGTACTTATAAATGTGAAGAATGTTTTGAAGTGAAACTTCTTTAGGCGCGTGAGGGTAAAAACGGAAACGTCACGAAGATTTGCAGCGTTTTTGTCGAAGAAAAGGGAGAGAGCGATTGAGACCGATTGACAGAGAGAGAGAAAGGCAAATTACCTTATATAAATTATATTTTATTCGCAAATGAGGAATTGTAAATAAAAATTGCCACGTGTTTTTATTATCGAGAAAAAAATTTATTAATAATTTGTATTATTTTCTACACTTTTAATATTTTAATGACAATTTTACATTCATTAAACTCCTAACATATCCTCCTTTTTCCCTCCCTCTAAGTCTCCGAAATCTAAAGTTTTAGATTTGTATAAATATGAACAAGACTGTTTGCCAAAGAAGTTTCACTTCTGACATGTGTACTTTGTACGCACGCATTTTTTAATCACGCCAGAATTGAGGGGATGAAATGGTAAGCGAAAGGCGGATGGTGAAGTCTTTTATTGGTCTAGACTCTAGAATCGTGGTGGCGCTGGCGTGTAAACAATAGCTCCGTGTATTTTATTGTTTACTAATAGTTTAATCGCGTTATTTCAAATAAAAAGTAACTCAGTGAGGTTTCTTAAAGTTATCTTTGTGGTGGTAATGTTATACAAGTATTTTTTTATGAAACAGTGACAATAATAACAATAAAAATTTTTGCCCCTAACATTTCATATAAAATTATATTTTTGCTTGGAAATACAATTCTTACTCAATCTACAAACTTATAATGTGACAAACTTACCAGTAAAGTGCTATAAACTAGTGACCGATGATAAAAGTGAAGAAACGTATAAGTTAAGTGAATCCTTTGTTCTCCAAGGTGACCCACTTCAATTGAATTGTAACGGATTTTCTAAGCAATCTATACAAATTGAAATATATCGCTTAATTTCACAATATTTGTAATAGTCCAGTTGGCTAATTGTGTTATCTACTTGTCAAGAAATTAACATAAAGCTTGAAACGTCCCGGTTCAAATCACGACGGCTATAAAATTGTTCGTCTTTACTATTATTTTTTTATTTTTTTTTATTTTTTCTCACAATGGAGGATGCCTACGTTACAATAAGAAGAAAAAAGGGAAGATCCATTGAATCCCTTAACATTTCATCTACCTCAACTCAATCGAACTATGACTGTTATGAAGTTAGAAGCTTACCCGACATTTCTACAAGAAATGTATACGAATATTCCGAATTGTTGGAGAAAATAAATCAATTAAAATCAGAATTGGATTTAGCGCACCAAAGAATTGGAAACCTAACACTTGAAAATTCCATGAAAAATATTGAAATTTCAAAACAAAAAGAAACCATAAATAATCTTAAAAAGAAATATTCTACACCTTACAATATTTCTACTCCCAACACATTGTCAGGAAGCAAAAAACAGAGGAAAAAACAAGGTAGGAAAATAAAGAAGAAACAAAAATTAAATGCAAGTTGTGGCAACTTGGAATTATTAGAAACCTCGATGGAGGTTCTTAACGCTGATTCTAGGAGCAATTTTATAAAACCTAAAGAATGTTTACCGTCCTCGAGAGATGGCGCTAGC